AAACCCTAAACCCTAAACCCTAAACCCTAAACCCTAAACCCTAAACCCTCACTTTGTCGTTCTCTTTCTAGGGCTTGCAGAATCAATCCCATCTTTTTCGAAAGTTCTTCTATTTGTTCACTTCCACTTCCTCTCAAGTGTTTTGGCAAAGTCAAAACCACCGGAGGCACGAGGGCCTTTTCGCGGTTTAGCGCCTCCACCTGCACCCAAACCCTAAACCCTAAACCCTAAACCCTAAGCCCTAAACCCTAAACCCTTGGGGAGGGCGTGCAGTGGTTTTGACCAAGCTGAGGGTTTGAGGCGCTAAAGAGAGACTGGAAGCCCTAAACCCTAAACCCCGAATTCTCTAAACCCGAGCTGAACACTCATTGAAGATACGAGGGTTTAGGGTTTAGGGTTTAGGGTTTAGGGTTTTCGAACTCACTATTTTGTACAGCCGCTGGATTTCTGCCCGCTGCTCTTCTATTAGCTTCTTGCCCTCCAGCAAACTCCTGCAGCCACCCGTATCAAACCCTAAACCCTAAACCCTAAACCCTAAACCCTAAACCCTAAACCCTAAACCCTAAACCTTAGAGCCTAAGCCCTAGACCCCAAACCCTAAATCCTAAACCCTAAACCCTATGCCCTGCACGTCTATAATTAAGGCGGGCCCCCTCTCCACAAGGGGTCACTTTGGAGAGCTTGAGGGTTTAGGGTTTAATAGGGTTTGCCCAATGAGCTAGGGTTTAGGGTTTAGGGTTTAGGGTTTAGGGTTTAGGGCCTCTTACGCTTCCGATTGCACGAGGCACATCTTGGAGATCCTGAGCTCTGCAGAACATTTGAAAAAACAAAACCCTCAAACTGAAGGGTTCACATTCGAGGGTTTAGGGTTTAGGGTTTAGGGTTTAGGGTTTAGGGTTTAGGGTTACCTTCTGTGGTGGCGCCCAGCTGGCGGGTGGTGCCCCTGTGAAGCTCCACATCTCTTTGGACTCTGGCTAGCTGGTCCGCCAACTGAAGCGAAAATCCACAGCAGCTAGCTAGCTAGCTAGCTAGCCAGCTAGCTATCTAGCTAGCTAGCTGGTGGGCTAGCCAGCTAGCTAGCTAGCTGGGTCAGTGGCTAGCTAGCTAGCTAGCTGGCTGGCTGGCTAGCTAGCTAGCTAGCTAGCTATCAAGCTAGCTAGCTGGCTGGCTGGCTGGCTAGCTAGCTGGGTGGCTAGCTAGCTAGGTGGCTAGCTGGCTAGCTGGCTAGCTAGCTGGCTAGCTAGCTGGCTAGCTAGCTGGCTAGTTAGCTAAAAGGCCAAGCCCTAAACCCTGAACCCCGAAGCCCAAACCCCAAACCCGAAACCCCAAACCCCAACCCCCAAACCCGAAACCCCAAACCCCAAACCCTAAACCCTAAACCCTAAACCCTAAACCCTAAACCCTTGCCTCGAGGGGAGACCTGCCCTCCTTGACTCCCTCGCCGGTGGCTCCAATTGCTTTTTGCAGTTTGTCAATTCGGTGCAGCAGCTGCTGCTGCTCTTCCTTCAGCCTTTTGTTCTCCAGGGTTTTGTCGCTGCTCTGCGCAAACCCTAAACCCTAAACCCTAAACCCTAAACCCTAAACCCTAAACCCTAAACCCTAAACCCGAACCCTAAGCCCAACCGTAGACCCCAAGCCCAAGCCCGAACCCCTAAACCCCAAGCACCAAACCTCAAACCCTAAACGCCAAAACCCTAAACCCTAAACCCTAAACCCTAAACCCTAAACCCTAGACCCACTTGCAAGTGGCGAATCAAAGCGTCTCTGTCTGCAATTCCCTTTTCTGCTGCAGCAACAGTCTGCAGCAAAGTCTGCCTTTCCTTGTCGGCGCTGCAGTCCTTTTGCTGCAGCGCAGCAAAGTCGGACTGCAGCGCAGCAAGCTGCAGCCGCAGCTGCTGGTTCTCAGCAGCAAACTGCTGCGCTGCAGCAGCAAAACTTTCCTCCCGAAACCCTCGAGAACTTTCCAACTCCAACACTTTTGCTGCCAGCTCTTCAATCTTTTCCTTTTGCTGCTCTATCAGCAGCTCCGCCCGCTCCAGCGCGCGGCACTCCCGCTGCGGAGCCAGCACTGCAGCAGCAGCAGCAGCAGCAGCAGCAGCAGCAGCAGCAGCAGCAGCAGCAGCAGCAGCAGCGGCGGGAGAGGGGAGTGCTCGCTAATGTGCGCGATGACTTGAAGAGGGTTTAAGGAGACAGATATTAAAACAAATCATATCGTCCGACTCAGCTGCAGCAGCAGCAGCAGCAGCAGCAGCAACAGCTGCAGCAGCAGCAGCAGCAGCAGCAGCAGCAGCAGCAGCATTGCTGGCCCTTGAAGCAGTCAGCTACTGAAAAGAGCTGAAGTAAATAAAAGAAAAGAACTTTTGATCTACAAATAAAAAATGAAAATATAAAATAAACAATGAGGAGAGAATGGGGACTCTGCCAGAACACGCGCAGTGCTGTTGTCGAGAATTAGGGTTTAGGGTTTAGGGTTTAGGGTTTAGGGTTTAGGGTTTAGGGTTTAGGGTTTAGGGTTTGAAAAAGACACTCACTGTCAGGGATGCGAGACATGTGCACAGCCTCACACACAAACACCTTGCCGCTTGCTCTGGCGGCAAGTGTTGCTGCTGCTGCAGTTGCTGCTGCTGCAGTTGCTGCTGCTGCTGCTGCTGCTGCTGCTGCTGCTGCATCATCCACAGCTTCGTCAGCTGCCTCTGAGACTGGAGTGGGGGGCCCCTCTGTGTCCCAGGGGGCCCCCGGGGGGCCCCCGGGGGCCCCCCGGGGGCCCCCCAGCTCTGGGGGCCCCCAGGACTTTGCTTGACTGGGTCTGGGGGGCCCCCAGGGGGGCCCCCCGGGGGGCCCCCAGGGGGGCCCCCAGCCACATTTAATTGCATTTAAACCCTCTAAGCAGCAACTACGAATCAAAGAGACTTTTCGCAAACCCTCTTCACTCCAAACCCTCA